GATTATTTTTGAAAAGCATATAATTATATGTTTATAGTTATTTTCCCCTGGCATATTAAAGCTCTCAGTTCATTTTTTCTGTTATTGTTTCTCGTTTTTTTTTTAAGACAGGGTCTCACTATATAGTTCAAGCTGGCCTTGAACTCACTATGTAGTCCAGTCTTGCCTCAAATTCATGGCGGTCCTCCTGCCTCAGCCTCTAGAGTGCTGGGATCAGAAGCATGTGCTACCACACCTGGCTTCCATTATTTATTAGATTTATCTGTAACTATTGAGAAGCAAGTTGTCTAGTGACCATTCTTTCTCTGAAAGAACATTTTTCTTTGTTGTTCAACTCTCATATCTCTGGGCCTCTCCTCAGTTCTTAAAAGGCCTTAATCATTACCTTTTAAAATACTGACTCTACCCCATTATCTCTTGCTTTTCCCTTTGGAACTAGTACTACATGTATATTTTTCAACCTTCTTTGTTACACTGTAATGTAGTTTTTTTTTTTTTTTTCAAAAATAAAAGGCTTTATAAATAAAATCCACTTGAAGCTAAAATTACGTAACTCATTTGAATCTTATCAAACATTAAAGCAAAAACTGTAGAATTCTGTGCCCCTTTTTCACATATTCCATCTGTCTCTCTGTACTAATTTTTCTCAATTTAAGTCTTCACATTCTGATTTGCTATTAATTTTCAATTAATTAAATTTTCATTTCAATTATGACTTTTATTCCCAGAAATTCTATTGTTATTCTTGAGAATTTCTCCATATATATTTTCATTTACTTAAACATAGTATATATAAGCACTGTACACTTTCTTTAATAATTGTACTTTCGGGCTGGGGGTTTAGCTCAGTGGCATAAGTGCCTGCCTTGCAAGCAGGCAGTCATGAGTTCGATCCCCAGTATCAATAAAAAGGAAAGAGACAAATAAATAAATAAATAAATAATTGTACTATCTTCATTACTTGAACATATGCTCTGTTATTTTGGCTCATTCTTGCATATGATGCTTTCTCTGATTATTAATTTTGTGAACTGTTCACTTTCTTTACAAATTAAGTACATTCTTTGTGGCCTAAAAGTGAATGGACCTACATTTATTGATGGTAGTTTCTATGAGACTAATAGGCCACAATCACCTTAAGTGTGATTAAGGTGTGATCACCACTGTTAGTTACTTCAGTGTAAATTTCGATGCATGACTTTAGTTCTTTTTGTTGTTGTTTTGAGACAAGGTCTCCCTGGATATTTCAGGCTGACCCTGAAGTATGTAGCATAGGCTGGCTTCTAATTCACAGCGATCTTCCTGCCTCAAACTCCGAAGTGCGAGGATCACAGGCACGTGCCACCACACCTAGCTAGTTCAGTTTTCCTACTCTTTGTAATATTCAGCAAAACCACTAAAATATTCTTTGTAGTTCCCTACAGAATGATGAAAAAGTAAATTTAGTTCTCTTTCGCTAACAGTGTATTCCTTACAGCTACCTTTTTAAAGGCTACCAACTTAATGGGGAAAAAAAAAAAAAAAACTATTGGAATCCCTAACTCTGGCTAGTGCTAGATTTTTATCTTTTAGCCATTTTCGATAGCTTTTGCAAAACTAAACCTTTCAAATCCCCAGCTGGCACAGCAGCTTCTAAGCCAAAACTGATTTTAAAATTCTACTTCATTTCTTTAATAAAACAACTTACCTTGCAGTTCTTTGGAGACTTTAAATAGATGGTTTTTTATGTATTAGCTATTTATTTAGCTTCAGCCATAAAGGGTATGCCAGAAACAGAAAGGTTATATTCACTCTTTGATCCAGTTCAACATATCTCTATATCCACCAAAAATCCAAACTGTCCTATCAATTTGGTGTATTTTTTTATTCCTTTATAATCCAACGAGTTCAATTTCTGATACATGTGGTTATTCTGTCTTCTGAGAGCCAGTTTTGGTTTCTACAATACCACATTTCCCTACCTAACTCTGATATAAACATTCACTGGGGCTCAGGTCTGGATCTTCTCACTTCTACATGTCCTACAACTATACTACCAATATCCAGTCTAAAGATGGTCAGCTTGCCCACAGGCTATCTTCTAGCTCCTGTTTCCATATAGTTAGTTGTCTGCAATAGCAACCAGTGATCTTTCAAAAATAGAAACTGGAGGGTTGGGCTTAAAAAAAATTTAGATCACGTCACACTATGTAAAATCCTGCACTTCACTTTGGCTAGATTCTACACAATTTAACATGGCCTACAAATTATAATATGACATGACTGTATGTCCATAATTATTTTCATAATACACCAATAATTATTTTTTTATATTAGACAAACTGTTCAGTTCCTCAAAATGCAAAACTTTCCCCCTTCTGATTCTTTTTTTAGGGGATACTGGGATTCAAACTCATGACCTTGTGCTTGCAAGACAGGCATTTATGCCACTGAGCTAAATACCCTGCCCCCACCATCTGATTAAGACAGACTTATTATTCCCTCTTACTGCAAAACAGTGTTTCTGTACTCTGCATGGCTAATTTCTAAACTATACCCTAAAGTTCACTATAATCTGATTCTCTCAGGGAAATTCTCTAACCATCTAATCCAGTAACGTCTGATTTTTAATCTTAGAAAAATGATTATAATTTGTAATTAAGTACATGTTAGCTGTTGGTAGTACATGTCTATAACTTCTGAACTTGGGAGGCTGAGACAGGAGAATCACTGTGAGTTAAGGCCAGCTTGGGCTACATGATGAGCAAGACGAGTCTAAACTACAAAGGGAGACTACGTCTCACCCCCTCAAAAAAAGTACATATTGTTTTAATGTCTGTGCTCTAATTATCTGTAAGTTCTAGGCACAAAGAAACTGTATTATCTTTTTTCATTCTGTATTCAAGAACCAGCACAGTTTTTTCATTCTGTATTCAAGAACCAGCACAGTGAATATAGTACTCAAGTGAACACGTTAATTGGATTACCAGACTCTTTCGGAATTGGGGAGGGTAAGGGAGGAACAACCAAGGAAAATGAGTTAACCATAGAATGTAGATAAGAATCAGGTAAAAAAAAAAAAAAAAAAAACACCTACAATTTACCCATAATACTTACAAGTTATTTGGCCAATATTACCTACCGTCTTCTGGTTAATGCTAAATGGACAAGGATAGCACCTGCCTCAGTAAGTAAACGTACAATTTAAAACTATTGTTGCTTACAGTTATCTACAAATTCCTTGTTTCTCAAATTGACTTGAAAGTTAGCTAAGCATGGTGGTACACCCCTGTAATCTTAGCACTCAGGAAGTTGAGGCAGGAGGATCATCTTGAGTTTGAGGCCACTTGGCAACACAGTGACTTCAAGATCAGTCTGAACTATACATAGTGAGACCCTGTCTCAAAAAACAAACAAACAAAAAAGCTAGCAATCTAGAGTGGTTAGTTTCCTTTGATTAGTGCACAATCTACAATTCATTTATTATTTTAACAAGTATAAATTGAGTAATATTTTGTGGCAGAAACTTTTAGCAGTGCAGATAACAGTAAACAGGCAAAAAAATCCTTGCCTCAAGGAACTGGCTTTCACATGCTCACACAGAATAGTAATAAAATATACACACAAGCAGATGGTAACTTATGCTGTGATGAAACAATGTGAGATCAAGAAAGAGAGGGTGTGTAATTTTAACCCTAGTAACCTATAATTTTAAATCAGTAAAATTTATCTACATTGGTTTCAAAAGGGATTAAAGATTTATATTATTTATAGAATCTAAGTGTCACAACTAAGAATATTCATGCAATGAATCACTTTTTTTCTTCTTCTTCAACTTGTAGCAACAGAAATGAATCACTTTCAACTTAAAAGTTTACAAAACATAAAACCTTTCCCACAGCAGTAGGACAGGCAGACAACTGTTCAGACTCTAAAATCACTTGATATCCAAGATTCTCCTAAAAAGATCATAGTTAGAGAAGCTAACAGACTAAAAACAGTCACAGAAATTCTGGGAAGAAATAAGAAGCCTAGAAGGAAAGCGACTTCTTCATGACATGAAGCCCAGTCAGTGGCAGGCAGGCTTCGACCACTACCAGGCTAGCTTATCTTTCTGTAACTGTAACTCTTTCTAATCAAGACCACATTCCTGTTTAGTAGGCTGTATAATGTTATATAACTCTGCCTTGTAATTCTATCTGAAAAAACAAATGATTAACTTTAGGGCTTTTTCTGATAACTTCAATGGCAGGAAAAATGATTTCTTTTTATCCCTACCTGTGCTATTATAATTCATATCAAAAAGTGCAAATAATCATTAAACTAGTATCTTTTACCTTAGTAACTGGGATAGAGGTCAGGATCTAGAGTAAAATGCAAGAAAATAAAAATTTGGAACATGGTTTCAAATCACATCCTAAGCATCTTAATAATGACCAGATAAAAGAGGCAATCAGCTAATTTAACCTTTTATACTCTGTCCATAGTCATTTTTACTAGGTTAAAGCATGCACCATAGATTACAGTGAGACAGAATGAAGGGGGAATGAACATAAATCCCTTCTAAAATCAGGTTAGATTGAGCTATAAACCAGGCATGGAGGCACAGGCCTACAATCCCAGTACTTAAGCTGGAGGGTCACCCTAAGTTCGAGGTCAGCTGGGCTACACATTGAGTTCAAGGCTAGCCTGAACTATACAGTAAGACCCTGACTCAAAACAAAACAAGACAAGACAAAAGGAATGAGCTATAAAACTAAGTCTATAATAAGTTCAGTTTTTAATAGAAAGGATCTTAGTTACTGTTTTTACCAGAAAAAAACAAAGGTTTTATTTTTTAAAGTATTCATTATGTTGTCATTTGAAATCATTCCTCAATTGTGACTATCAAATACATTTCCAGGAATTTTTCAAATTAAATATTTATTTATAATCAAAATTCCATAAAATAAGGCTTTGAGTTTAAGTAATTATAATTAGAGCAATCTACCAGTAGAAAGATGTAGGCCAGAAATAATTACCTTTATTGCTGCATGTTTTTCATCTTCCATCCATCCACAAATCCTCCTCATAGTAATATAAACCATCACTGATAACTTTAGCAACGTCTGATGTAAGTTTTGCCTGAGACATGTGGTAGCCTGCTCAATTTCCAGAAAGTTTTCTCATATAAGGTGCCGAGTTACAATCAAAATCCTGTTTAAATCCCGGGCATCAATTTCATAATCTCTATCATTATCAGACCAATCAGTAAACGTCTTTTTTCATCCATTTATTCCATCTCTTCCTCAAATAGAGAATCAAGTTCTTTTTGTTATTTTTTCTTCTGGAAGACACTATTGATTTGATGCCTCTTCAGGTCTAGATACTGATTCCTAAAGGTAGAAATTAGTATTATATAGGAAAAAATTTCTATCACTTTTTTAAAAATGTCACATAACTGTGTTTTAACTTATATCAATCTTGTATGCTCAGTGATTATTGTTTAGCACCCAAACTGTAAGAGAATATTAAGCCAAATAGACTCCCAAAATTAGAAGTTTATTTCCACACACTTGGCAAAATGACCTCTGAATGGGCAGAGCAAAAAGTAACAAGTGAAACCCATGCTAATTTACTAACAACAAAATCAACAGATATTAAGGGGCAACTAACATCCTATAAAAGTTAAACAAAATTGGTAGAAATAATTATAATATCTAAGTAGAACCTTAAAACTCACAACTACAGAACTACAGTTGTAAGATGAACAAATAATAACAATACCAGAAAGTGAAAGACAAAAGTTTCTTGAACATGTGTATTCAGCTCAAGGAGTAAGAGCAGATGCATACCAAGGCATATCACCCTGAAATTTCAAGACTAGGAAAGAAAAAAAATCACCTTAAAAATCCTCAAAAGAAAATATTTATAAAAAGATGTGAGGCAATCTCAATTTTACAAACTGTAAGATAAAAATGTTTCTAGAATTCAACAGAAAGTTATATTTAATTACTCTATATATCTACTGTACAGTGTTTCAGAAAGATCATTTTAATGGGCTATGAATAAAGTTCACAGATACAGTGCATGCTTAGCAAGCAAGAGGCCCTGGATTCAATTCCCAGTGCTAAAAATTAAAAGACAATTTTTTAAGAAGTACACTGACAATAACCAGTCATGTTACAACACATCTGCAATTCTGACACTGGAGAGGCTGAGGCAGGAAGATCATCTTAAGTTTGAAACCTGTCTGCGCTACATAGAGTTCAGTACCAGCTTCAACTACACAGCAAGACATTATTTCAAAAACAAATCTGCAATGTATGTACCACTGTTGCTCCCTGATTGACATGCTTTGAAATTTTATTGTCGTCTTTCTACCTTTGAATAAACTGGATTTGAAAAACAAAAAGTAGTACATCAACAGCACTGTCAAAAAATAACTAACTTCAACAGTATACCCTGACAAGCTGTAAAAATCACTTAGCATCTTTAGAAAGTGTTTTGAGAAAGGGTCTTTAGGATACTAAAATGCACACTAAGCCAAGCATGGTGGCACACTCCTGTCATTCCAGCATGCATATCTGACAAATAGAAAAGTCACTGACCTTACACTCTACCAAAGAATATCACACTTCATCTGGTTTGTAACAACTTACCTTTAATTCCACTGGGGACACATGATGCCTCATTTTTGCTTCTATCCAAGGTTCTGAATCCAAGTCAGGTAAACTGGTAGACAAACCTCTAAACATTGCTTGAAGACTACTTGTTTCAGTATTTTTCTTTGGAATCAAAGGACTTCCAATTCTTGGAGAATTTGGGGCAGACTCTAAAATTTTAAATTAGTTCTACAGTTAAAATAACAGGTTTTCTAATTTAAATATTTCATTTGTTCCTTGGTATTTTTTCACAAAACATATCAACCTCAATTAAAATTTTTCCTGTGATTTTCAAATAGTTTTTAATAATATTTACTCAGAAGAACAGCCATTGAGTAACAAACAAAAGGAATATCATTAATCCTTATACAGGCCACCATTCCAACTTAACAATGTCAATGTGAGTCACCAAAATGTTGGTAAGTCATTTGTGAATTAAATTATCTGTGTAATTATTAAAACCTATAAATTATAATCATGGAATCTCAAATGTTGTTAAGCCAATTAAGTCTAATACATATGTTACCTCAGATTACACTGATTCTCAACTAGACTTTAAAACAACCATCACTCCAACTTTTTACATTTTCTTTGCTTAAAAAAAAGTTTGCCTGCATGCACTGAAGAGCATTCCCCCACCTTCTACCTTGGCTCGTACTGAACACTGCAAAGCACCAAATTGTCATGTTAAAAGTACACAGCTTGGGCGATAAAGCAAGAATGTAGGTCAGACATGACAGCACATACCTGCAATCCCAGTACTCTCAAGACTGAAGCAGGAGGACCATATGTTTGAGCCAAGCTTGAATTTAGCAATTTGGTGACATCCTATCTCAAAATCAAAGCACAAAAAGGGCTGGGAGGTAGTTTGGTGCGAAGGTCCTGGGTACAACTCCCAGAACAGCTGAGTGAGGGAGCAGGCCTGTCATCCTAGCTAGCATTTGCAAGGCTGTCAGAAGTGGGGGCGGGGGGAGACAACCAACTGAGCCCACTGGGGCAATTTAAGCAAGAGCATGTCTCAAAATAAAGAAAAATGAGCTGGAAATATAACTCAGTGCAAAAGCCCTAAGATCAACCCCCCTAGAACCAACCATAAACTGTTTCAAGTTAAAAGGTCTTTCTTCTCAACATTACCACTTTTGCCAGTTGGTGGTTTTTTGGTTTTTGAGGGGACAGGGCTTTTTTTTGGTTTTCTGAGACAGGGTCTCAATCATGTAGTTCAGGCTGACTGAACTATGTAGCCGGGATGGCCTTGAACTCACAGCAATTCTCCTGCCTCAGCCATCTGAATGCTGGCATTACAAGTGTTGGCCAACCCACCTGGCTGCATTTTTGCCAGTTTCTAATCAAAAGAATTATATACTCTAAGTAAAATTCAAACTGCTTTCGTGTATCTTTTCAAAAGTGAGTTTTACATGTTTTCATCCTAAAATCTTTTGTTGCACAGTGTCTCAACTAGATTGATTTTGAACTATGTAGCCTTTGAACTCCAGAGAGCCTTCTGCCTCAGCCTTCCAAGTGCTGAGAGGTGAATAATACCATGCCAGGTTTCTAACATATTTATAAGGTTCTGGGGGTGTAGCTCAATGGTAATGCTTACTTACCATGCATGAGACCCCAAGTTCCATTTTCAGCACTAAAAATACTGAAAAATTTTAGAATTTTGAACTATTTATATGCTTACATATTTTTCCTGGAGGTTACTATTCTAAACACCCTCCTTTCTTCAGTGCTAGTGACAGAACCTGGGCCCTTATGTACGCGTGGCAAGTACACTACCTCTTAACTACAGCCACAGCATTTTGTTGTATTTTGAGACAGAATTTAAAGGCCCGGGGCTTGCTTACAGGTGTGAATTACCACAGCCAGCTACAACTGCTTAAATTAGTGGTGCATCTGTCACCAACTCATTCACAGAAGTAGTGTAAGCAAAACAGAGTGTACACTGTCTCACACTCACAAAGCTTTCAGTAATGGAGAAGTGCCTAATACTGTGTTATCTATATCCATACAGTGAATGAAACTTTAAAAGCAAACAATCCCTAGGTCATTATATTTGATTCAGTTCCCTACATACATAATGGGGGAATTAAATTATAACATCACATGTATAAATAAGAACAGCATCTAGCATAGCACAAGCTAGAAAAATCAAAAGCTACTGTCCTTAATGTGAAAATTTAATCTTAACATTCCAATAGTTTATTAAATAATGACCCACAGCTTTTAGGTTTTTACCATGAAGGTGTTTGATTCTATTTCCATGTGCTTGGAAATGTAATATTAAAATACCAAAGCATTTGGACAAATAAGAAAATTTACAAGTCTTACAATGAGACTTTAAAAATATTTAATGAAGGGCAATCCACTAAGGACCTTTTCTGTTTCTCAGAAGCTATTTTTCTCTCAATAAGTAGATTCTGCTCTTAAAAAAAACTGATAAATTTTAATAAAAATAAGCTATACATAAGGAAATGACATAAAAAGAACTATGTGTTATGAACATGTACCAACTCTCCATAACGAATGTAATAATACCACAAACTAAGAAGATATTTTAAAAATTAAAATAGGACATATGTCCTAAGTTTTCATCTGTATTTTCTAATTAAAATATTTCAAAGCTGGGCATGATAGCACATGCCTGTAATCCTATCACTTAGGAGGTTGAGGCAGGAGGATCACTGAGTATGAGGCCAGCCTGGACTACAGAGAGTTCCAGGCCTGCCTCAACCACGCAGTGTGACCCTGTCCTAAAGAAAAAGAAAACAAAGAGAAACTATTTCAAGTCAGACATCCGTAATTTTTTTTTTTTTTTTTTTGGTTTTGTGAGGCAAGATCTCACTGTGTAGAGTTCAGTCTGGTCTTGAGCTTGTGGTGATCCTCCCACCTCAGCCTCCCATGTGGTAGGATTACACGTGTGTATTACCAGCCCCAGCCACATTTGTAAAGTTTAAGAATAGCAAACTCCTAATCTTCCAGTCTAAATGAGTTTAAATATGATTTAGATTAGACATTAAACTTATGTAGATGGAAAAACTTACACATTCTTCAACACTTGGGTGTCAACCTGTGAGAACATACAAATTTTATGTTTGGTTTTATTAAATGAAAATTGTTGACTTGGCTCTCCAAATATAATTCGCCATAAATTTGTATTATCTTATACTGCTTTGTTTTTCACCTTGAAAGGACCACATCTCTGGTTAATTACAAAGGTTTCTTTAAAACAATTATACATTTTATGCATAACATTTTCAAGAACATTTTTATACATGAAGTTTTCAAAGAAAATCTCCCGGTTTTAATAATCATTAGATCTTCTCATATATTTTTTAAAAAAGTCCTTCTCCCAAAAATCAAGATTGTCAGGTACTTAGCTTTTTAACTCTGATGAAATTCTTTTATTTAAGAGTGGACTGTGCAATACCATATTCACAGCACAGCAGAGCCTGCATTTCAAAAGCAATCTTACTCTCATTTATCAACTGTTTGTGGTGCATGATGGTCTTCTGCTTAGTGCAAATGTCAACTCATGTTACACAATTCAACCTCTGGAGATGAAAAAATAGCAACTTTATTTTCTCTGATGAAGAGGATTCAAGTATGCTTAAAAATATTTTACCATATTACTATGGGCTTTTCACTTCAGATTTTTGCTGACATCCTACCTCTCTTAGGCTTTCTTAGTGCAAGCAGGGAATTGTGAAGGTCAGAAATCTGGAGATTCCTGAGAAGGTGATTTACATATTTATTCTTATGACAATATGAGTTGGTGCAATTCTAAAAAATATTTCCATCTTTATCTCTACTTGGTCTTAGATTCTGATGTAAAATATATAGAACCTAATAATATCTTAATATGCACTGACTTGTGTATAGAATAGTATTTGTATGTACCTAAGTGCATGTTAAGAAACAAAATTTACAAAACATAATTTAATTATAATTTTATTAATGAAACATAAATGGTTAATGTACAGGCATCACCAACTTGACTGACAAACTATCCTGTGGAAAAAATACTATATTATCCAACTTACCAATGATTGTTCACATGCTGGTTAAAAATGTCATCTTGGACCCCACTTTTATACAATAAATAATTCTAATTTATACAATAAGCCACTATATCTCTTTAAAAAGTTAAAGTTTAAACTAAAATGATATCACTTTTCTTCAACTTTTAAAACACTTGTGCAAGTTTTTTTACTGGGATTAGAAGCAGAGAGCTGACAAAAAAATATGAGATAGTAATATGACATAAAAATATTTGTGAGACTGTCCACTAATGTTTTATCAATGGGCAGGTCTCTCATCTAGATGTATCAAAAATACACTTCCAACAGTAAAATAAAAATTTCCCCTGTTCATTTCTTAAATTTCTTTGCCCTTAGTTGTTCACATTAATAAATCTCACAGTCCATGTGAAACATGACAACATGTGTTATATAACATACACTACGCTGAAGAGCAAATCAAATAGTGAAAGACCTAACGATTTGGGAAACGTTTCTCAATCCTCTCTTCCTGCTTTATTGATCTGGACACAAGTACATATGCCTGTAAACAACAGAATCTTGCAGTATGTCCACAATGATAATAATTAACTTTCCCACCATGAAGAAAAGTAGCCCACACAGCCCAGGTCAATTACATAGAAATAAGCAGCTCCAATAGTAACAGCAGTCCTCTGGTCTGTCTCACAGCATCATCGCAAGGTGGTTGTAGTGTTGGCCCAGCCTCCTCCATAGAGGTTTGGGAGTAGACACTGCTGCACAGGAGACAGTCTGGTTGCTTTCCTTTCCACAGCACGATTTGTTCCAATATTTACAATGGCATTTCATTGAGTCACCTATTCCACTGCACATTCCGATCAAATGACATCCAAGAGCATCAGTAGATCATCACCCTGACTGAAAAAAGTTTAAGCACATATTTTTTTCCCAAGAGGGAACATCTTAAAATGATCCAGGAAAAAGTTCTTAACACTAAAGCAATTCTGGAAAATTCTAACCACAACCAGATTAAAGAGAACCCCAATTCTCCTTTAAAATATGGGTCATCATATCTTTGTAAGACAAGTTTGTAGCACACTGGTAACACAGTTAAAAAGGAAGGCTATCCCACTCTTGAGTATAAAACTCTTATTACACCACTCCAGTCTTAGAAGGGAAAAACTGGCATGATGTATTTATAATCACTGAGCAAAATTAAAAGGCAAAAATTCCACACATGATCAAGTACACATAAAATTTAACAGCAAGAAACATAAGACAGTCACCAATAATTCATGGATCCCTATTTAAATTATAGCTCTGCATGAGGAGCAATGTAAGTAAATAAAATTTACAGCATCAGAAGTCACTTAGTCATCTTTAGTTTTCCTACAAAAGATGCGCAGACTAAAAAGAGGTAAAATGGATCAAATAGCTCACTGTTACACTGTTTGCTCTAGAAGAAAAGCTGTTACCTGTATGTGAGCAAAAAGCTTGGCCTGGTACAAACTCTGGACAATCAATCAGTTGAGAGAAATCTGTTTGCGGCACAGTCCGTGGAGGAGGGCCTGGAATTGGCCATTTTTCTGGTTCTACTCTTTTTCTCATTTTCTCATCTACAATTTCAACTTCTGTGCTATCCTTCAGCGCCTGGCAATAGGAATTATGAGTTATTACAGAACTATTAAAAATTTTCATTGCAAATATTACATTTATAGCAACTAAAAACCATAAAATCTGAAGGCAGCAGACTATGTTGCAGTTAATAGCTAAAAAAATCCACAAATTCAGAATGTAACAAATTTTAAAATCACTCTTAGCACTTCTGGTGAGGGGAGGTACCAGGAATTGAACTCTTGACCTTGTGCTTACCAGGAAAGCACTTGAACTGCTGAGCAAGTCCTCAGCCCCTTAAAAATCACTCTTGTAAAACAACTATTCTGACTTATCAAGTGTTTATCCTGTAGCATGAGGCTTTCGCACAATTAAGTCATTTAAGAATTAAAAAGGAAAAAGACAAAAAAAATAGTATTAAATCAAACAGAAGCAAATGCTTTTTGCAACCAATTGAGCTTCATTATCTATTTTTTCCCTCATATTTCCTTGTTGTCCCTCAAAATATCACCAAATAAAAAGTAGCATTATTGTAGTTAACTAACACTATTTATTAAGTAATAATATGCATACCTGATTCTAATACCTTTTCACATACAAGGTATTATGCATATTCTATAGATGAGGAGACTGAAGCTTAAACAAGTTCAATTTAAAAAAAAAAAAAAAACCACAGGCCTACTATGAAACAAATCATTCAACTGTCCACAATTAAAAGCCTTAGCCATTAGCTGTGGAGTCTCTTAAACATGTGCTATAAAACAGAAGCAAATTTCTTTTTTAAAAAAATTAAAGATTGCAAATCATGCAGGGCTCAGGAAGACAGAAGCCAGAGCACCTCTCCCATGAATTGGCAAAAGCCATGCTGGGTCTGGGAGGATCACATCCAAAAGCCAGTTCCCTTTCCAGTAAGCTGTGCAAACCACACAAGGCCCCAGAAGAGAGAAGCCGATCTGCAGCACATGGGCTGAGAATCAAGAACTCCCCCACTTGTGCCACCATAGGCAACCAGCTGGTTTGAAGGACAGGCTAGGTTGACAGTAACTGAGGTACAAAAACAACTACACACTGGTAATGTCTGAATGACTTTGCAGGCCTAGGGCAAGTAGCCTGATCAGATGGCAGTATGCAATATAGGAAATGTGGGGGATTTTCTTCTGTCTTGTTTTTTGAAAACCAATAGTTTTATTTTGTTCCAATTTGTTGTTTATTCCATGCTGTTTGCAACCAATGCTGCAAATTTGTTTTGATTGGTTTGATTTTGTTTTGATTTGATTTTACTATGTCTGATGGAATGGATAACTGCTGTACAGGTAACAAGATATATTACAGTAGCCATTGTTGATTTCATGTTACCCTGATTTGAAGTTCTGTGCCACTTTCTTTTTCTTTTTTCCTTTTTTTTTTTTTTTTTTTTTTTTTTTTGTCTTTTTCCTTTTTATCGGTACCGGGGATCGAACTCACGACTGCCTGCTTCCAAGGCAGGCGCTTATGCCGCTGAGCTAAACCTCCAGCCCCTTCTGTGCCACTTTCACTGCTTTGTTTGGCTTTACTCTTTTGTTTTGTTGGCTTTTATTCTCTTTATACTAATAAAAAAACTAAAGATAAATTTTTTCCTTTGTAGTACTAGAGTTGGGGTGGGGGCTTCACAGTAATCTAAGCTGCCTCCCCCCCCCCCCTTGAGACAGGATCTTGCTAAATAAATCACTAAGCTTCCCAAGTTAAGTTTGAACTTGTGGTGCTCCTTTCGCAGCCTCAGTGGTGAAATTATAGGCATGGAACACCACACCTAGCATGACGTTAACCTTTAAACAATTAAAGACTTGCTCATTTAACATTTATGTGAAATTTAGGGATGTTTATCATTTAGAAAGGATAATTAAAAAATGTAGCTGGGGATTTAGCGCAGAGGCACAGCACCTGTCTGACAAGAGCAAGTCCTGAGTTCAATTCTTAGGAGGCAGGCTGTGTACATTGTTTGGTGGCTATGCCTATAATCCTGGCATTTAAGAGGCTGAGATAGGTATAGAAGATGGATAACCATATTATTGAGTTTTGTTGGATCACTGAACAAAAATATTCGTAATCTTACTGTTTGAATGTCTAGTTTATATGCTTTAATTTTGTAACTGGAACAACTATTTCTAAGATGACAATATGCAATCTAATAACTAGTGATTTCCTACTATTTTTTCTGAAATTCTGTTTAACTTGTACCCTTTTTCTGTTTTTTTTTTTCTTTTTCTCCTTTTAAATAAAATTAAAAAAAGAAAAAAAAAGAGGCTGAGATAGGAGGATCATCATGAGTTTGAGGCCAGCCTGGGCTACAGTATGAGTTCAAGGCCAGCGTGAGTGACATAGTCAAATGGCACCTAAAAAAAAAAGTTTGTTTGACTTTATGGGAAAATTTGATTTTGTTCTGGTCCAATTCAGTTTGTAACCAGAATCACGGAGAGAATTAAAGTTCCTCAACCAAGATACCACTATATATATCTTATGTGTTATGTTAATGTACAAAAATTAAAATTCACTAATATGAGATGGTCATGTATTACTTTTAGAATCTGTCATTTGTATTCCTTAATTCCAGCACTTAAATATTTCTCATTATTTTAAAATTAGAATTAAAATAATTTTAAAAGCAAATTCCTTTGAAAAGGGAGTCAAATATGTCATGGAGAAAAATGTAAAGCTTCTATAGCAATGGACTGTTCAAGTCCATTATTTACATATTTTCCTCAATCTGTTTCATTATTTATTTTCCTCAATGTGTTTCCTCATTATTATTTATGTATTTTCCTCAATATGTTCACTGAAGGATCTGGAAGCCCAGTAGCAAGCAGTAGACTCAGCATCCAGATTAGTCATCATGGACATAATCTATTGCTTGGAGTGGCAGTCAGATTTAACTTCCAAAACTTACACTGGACACCTAAGATTACTGTATTTTACATGTTACACTTGAAACTAACTGCACTCTGTGAAAAGGTTCTTGCTAAGCAGTTCACACTGGTCTTGACTCACTAACTAGGAAGCCCAGGACGGCCTTAAACTTGTGGCAGTCCACCTGCCTTCACCCTCCCGAGTACTGGTATCACAATACTACATATGAACAACTGTCACTTCATATTTTTTTGTTTTTTGTTTTTTTTTTTGAGATAGGGTCTTGCCAGATAGTCCAGGTTGACCTTGAACTCGTCACATGGTCTAGGTAGACTTGAACTTGTGGCAGTCTTGCCTCAGCCTCCATACTGCTGGGATTACAAGCATGTACCACTAAGCCTATACTTTGAAGCCACCTTATAGGAAAGTCTAACTTTCAAAACCACATGAAAAAACTGGTGTGTGACTGAAGATTGTTTTCTGAAGTTACTTCAAACAATATCGTTATTGTACTTACTTATTTTTTGTTGTGGAACTTGGGAGTCAAGCCCAGGGCCTTGCATGTGCTAAGCAAGTGTTCTACCACTAAGCTACACCTACAGCCACTGGGAAACTTGCCTTTTCATTAAAAGGTTATTCCGGGAATAAAATTATGATATGTAGTATAAAAACTTATTAATTACTATGATTTTCAATCAAGTTCTCACTAATTTTTTCAGCTTTTTCTTTTTTTTGGTACCTAGGATCCAGGATTTGGTTTTCATGTTATTGTTTGCTTTTTTGGTCTGAAAGTATTCTCATTAAGCCCTTAAGCACACTGTTAGGAAGGAGTACTTAACAGGAAGTTTTAGTTGCTATTATGCTTAGCCTTTTATTGATTTTAGTGGGCCAATGATATAGTAAGAAAATCCCTTGAGAAAACGAAAATGTTCTAGAACAGTGTATATTCATTTTGCATCTAAATTTATAATAGTGGGAAAGGTGTCTTTTTTCTGATAAGATATGGCTTTTGCTTTTTTTTTTAAATGAAGTCTTGGTTTGTAATTTGGACTGGTCTTGAACTATGTTTGCTAAAGATGGCCTTGAGCTTGCAGCAATCCTGCCTGAGCCTCCCAAGTACTGGTGAAGTGATGAAGTACATGTTCTACAAAACCCAGTTTAATATGGATTTATTATGCTTTGCAATTAAACATTATCAAGAGCATGAATACATACACATAATTCCAGCTCTATGACTTTGAACAATGTCCTGAAACAATATATACTTCCTAAGGTCATCATGAGAGTAACTGACAGTATCTGGCGCATGTGGTAACCTGTAAGTAAGCATTTGCTACTTTTGTTATTCAAGTCCCTCTACTGGTTATATTTTTGTCAATCACTTATATCAGCTTCATGTTATATATGCTTGATTACACACAAATATTTTCTTTCTTGAAAAAACAAGAAAAGCAAAACACTTGAGATGACACTCAGTTGCCTGGGGTTAGTAGGTCTACAAAACTAAACTTGTTTTTTAAAAAAAAAAAAAAAAAGCTGAACCCATTGATTCTAGCTCTTCCCCTTTTGTTTACTTTTTGGCTTACTACATTCTTGATTCTAGTCCTGTGACTTTTTTGCTACTAGTGTCTTTCATTAGATCCAACACTTAAGCTATAATATTGTACAAAGGATTTAGGAGCATTATTAATATATTATTAGCCTTAGAACCACGCCTGTTACTCTCATATTAAGCCTTGTGTTCTTAATGGAATAAACTTGTGGTTTCTTAGAACTTGTACTCTTTTATCTGTAGATTTTTGCAAACGTGTATGTTTTTCACTATTAGGCACGAAGGGATGGATTTATGTAGAGTACCACTGGAGTCATTCATGATAGGTTTGCATGATTAAGGAAAGGACACAAACTAATATTCACACAGTACAGAATCTCATATCCAAAAATACTGACTGTACACAATAAGTAATCGTTTAGGGACTCATGATTAACAAGGCTTGGTTCAGAATAAAATTATATCTAACACTGTTTAGTCTAAGTTTTTATCTCAAATTTGTCCACAGTATACTTTTTGCATGAACCTCCTACGGCCCAAATGATCAGCATTTCACTTTCTGCTCTTTTCCCATTCATTCTTTCATTCATTCATTCACAGT